CGGCCTTTTACATGTAAAACTCGATAACATCACGCTTTCGAAATTAAAAAAAAAAATACATAGGCCTACATAACACAATCGAGAAAATTCGAATTCCAAAAGATGGAAACATTTGCTACAATAACAATAATTCTTTCCGCAACTCAGAATATATATAAATATATTTTTTAAATGTTTATACTACATTTCTGCTCTAAAAATTGTAAGACAAGAAGTAAAAACTTTAATCCAAAATTCGGACAGGCGGGTCAAATGATCCTTTAAGCTACTTTTCTACCAGACAGTAAAAAACCAGAAAGAAGAATTTCGATCTAACTGTTTCCATTTATGTGACTAATCCATATTTCTAGACTGAATAGTGATGGAAGAGCAACTGCTGACTTTTGCAGGAATCTGAGCAATTACTAGACTTAAAAAAAATTTCTAGGAATGAAAGAACTTTAAAAATCACCGCAATAGATAGAGATAAATAACGTACCGGTATATTGAAAATCGCTTCAAAAAATTGAGAATGAAAACTTTATGCTATAGTTAAACAGTGAAAATTTGTAAATAATACATTATAAAGTTGCAAATTTAAGAATATTTTAAATAGTAAAGAAAAAAAAACTAAAAGTAAACAATTAAATACATCTTTTAATTGAATTTATGTCTTTAAAAAGTCAAAAGTCGAAAGAAAAGTAGAAATTGTATGAAAAATAAGTGCTACAACACAAATAAAATCGGTAAAATGCCAGAATCGATAAATATTCCAAAAAATTATAAAGTAAACCTGCAGGAAAGTATCAGAAGTTTATTAAATACAAACACATATACGTATTAGGTTAACAGCAAAATAATTTGAAATGTCTCTCACATAATTTATCATAATTTAAAGCAAATCATTAATTTCAATATTACAGAATTAAACTTAAAAAAAGTAAGAATTATATAAAAATGATGTCGTAGCAGAACGGATGACAGATTTGTAGTATATTTATATACTTAAAAAAAGCGGTGAAATAATGTGCAAAATGTAAAAATTAGAATTATAAAAACAAGGAATTTTCTGTAATTATAAACCACTGTCTCAACTTTATACTTATAATATTGGAAGTGTTCCAATATGAAATAAAAACAAAACTTTTGAACATTTTTTTTTTTAAATTTAGATAACAAATTTCTTAACTTTCTAATTTTTCTCAAAAATGAATACATTCATGTCAGTCACAGTAAACTTCGTATGTATATATTGTAATTTTCTTTTCACTTAGAATAAATAAAAAGGTAAATTCCGAATTAAATAAAGTCAAGAAAAGAGTTTAACCATTTGTTAAGAGTTGGACTAGTTCCAAAATTCAGCTACCCCTTTATAACTACGTTTTAAAATCACTGATAATTAAGGAAGGAAAACAACGAGTGAGTTAGAAAGAGGGAGGTGAAGATTTTAAAGCCTGTTAACATAACTAAAAATCTCATTCCAGTATACCATCTCTTTAAAAACGCATTACTTATATCCATTGCGTTAAAACTTTTAAATCACTTTCTCCGGATCTTCTCCTCCTAAAAAGCTACTTAATGGCGGCCCGGTATCTTAATAGCTACGATTGGTCGATATCTAGATATTCCTTCACGACCGACCAATAGCCATCAAGAATCCATTCCGCTAATGGACTTCTAGCGAAAATACTTTCTGTCTAGAAAGCATATTCTATCCCGCCCCTCTTCGGAAAACAAAATGAGAACGGAACTATTTTTGAAATTCCATTAAAATATGGTAATTTAAATTTTTAGTAGCGTAAACTATTATCGGTACATCCTATCGGGATTTTGCTCGCAACACTAGGATCAAAGATTTCATTTTAAAAAGTAGCCAACCTCTAATGAGATCACACTGTAGCAACTTCGCCTCTAGCCTTCCAAACAAACACATTCTCTATCCGAAGATATTAAGCCACTTCATATATCGAAAGTTGAACATGCTACTTCATTTCTATATCTGCTACATCCGTTTATATTTGAAGAAAGCCAGATGCCTCGGCGCCATTTTTCTCACTTTTCTAATAAAATTTCAGGGTTGAGGTCTACAACTTCAATCTATATTTTTCCAATACAATACTTTTGTATTGTTATAGCGAACTAACTTCTATTTTTCTTTTTATTATTAAAATACTAGATCTTTCTTCCAATAGTTTTCTCTATCGCAGTTTAGAATCGATATATTTAAAATAAACTTTGAGATTTAGAATGAATATCAAGGTCTTTGGAATGAGAATATATACGAAGAAATTTCGTGTAAAGATTTATTTTTAAAAATAAAATGTTTTGAACTTTACCACTACATTTCCCTTATAGCACCAATTTTATATATAAAATCAACATCATTTTTCGGACTATTAGACCTTCTTCATTCTTCTTCAAAGCCATTTATTACTTTGTATTTTCTGAAAATTACTGTTCTATTTATATTTTGCAATTTATCTTTTTTAAATCTATCTATGGTGATTTATTTAGTTTAAATATTCGCTGCTTTTCATATAAGTAGCTTATGAAAAGTTTATCGGTAAAAATTTGTGATGTAACTTAGTAGTTTAAACTTATCTCAACTATATCTGTCAACTAAAGAAACGTATTATGTCTGATTATCCTCAAAACTTAACGAACAGCTTAAATAAAGCTTTCAATGTTTGAAAGAATATTGTGCATAAACTAACACTATACGGAGTACAAACATTGAATGTGTCTGATATTAATTACACATATAAAAACTGAAAATAACAAAAATTAGATAAGAGAAACAAACGATTGATTTGTCAGTCTAAATAAAATTATCGTTGAAAAATCCAATTATATTTTCCACACTGTCATGCTAAACTGTAAATATATTTGAATCTTCTGAATTATTTTATATTACAATGACACCATTTCCTAATTAGCCATTAATATTAATCAGAGAAATAAACACAAGTTCATTTTTACTGCTTTTCATCTTTAATTAAATCTTTAAATCTAATTAAATCTTTCTTAATCTTTAAAACATTCTCAAAGGACACACTTACTGGAATGATCATCATCATACTGTAAAATGTATTAGCAACAACTTTCGCTTGAATATTCTAAGCGTCAAATACGATTAAGAAGTTGTTTGGTCTACTTTCCTTAAGAGGTGCGCGTTATACAATTTTAACAGACCTAACATTAGCAATTTTTTATTTTCACTCATGATAAATTCTAGTTACTTTCACAAGCTTTCACGGCTTTACTTATCAGCGTAATCAAATTCCTTTCATCTCTACATTAGGTTTTCGCCGATAAACAAACATCTGTAAACTATCACAGGATCAAAATAAAACGAAATTATCGCGTGACAATTATCTTTCCCATCCTACACCATTACCGGTTACACCATTCTATCGTGATAGACATTAAAAATAACGCAATAAATATACGATAGTGATACTCATAAATAATATTCTGATACAGCCATATATATCTTTTGTGGAGGAGTGATCGAATGCAGAAAGAGCTACATCAGTTAACCATCTCTCGGAATTACGCGCTATCGTGACTCACTCTATTTACCAATTGCTATCCATCGATCACAAATTCCCAGCACTGAGAAAGATTTGAACTCCAAACACGTTTCCCAACCAGACTGTACTACCAATTTTATAGATAACTGTAGCAGCAGCGTGTTTAGCAAAATGTTTACTTACGTGTTTCACTTAGCTAACACTACTTCCCTCTCCTAACGTGTTTACTACGAAGATCCGATAATTATTGGAAAATTCACTTCGAAACCATTCAACATGAGAATGTGTTTTGTAGATAAAAATGAAGTTTTAAAGTAACTGAATAAGAGATTACTATTATTATTGTGTGCAAAAGCAAAATAGTAAAGATAAAGATGAAATGCTTTTGGGAATCACATTAATAAGCTATTGATTAAATCTATCTACATAAATTATTCAGTAGAATTGGATTCTTCTTAGTATTATGATACAAAACTTATATAGGCCAATATATAGCATCCTATTGGCATAAAAAACAGACGATGTGGGAAAACCGTTCATTTAAACCATTCATTGGTTCATTCTTAACCAATGAACTGCCTTTCACTAAAATTGGCATAAAATATTGCACTTAATTTCAATTAAACAAAATAGTATAAAAACAATATTTTGTGTTCAATAAATTAAGAAATATTCTTTGTATCTAAGAACAATGCTACATGTTAAAACTTAAATTAGTGCGTGGCATTTATCTATCAATATATTCCGAAAGATCAGCAAATAATTGATATTTCTTCAGTAAAAAAATGGATAAAGGTTCATCCAATATAAACTGAATAATTTAGAAAATAATATATCGTGCTAGAGAATTTCACTTCTCAATTATTGACATCCCCATCAACATAACCAATTTTCAAATTCGCACAACTGAAGATGCCAGTTATAAATATGCATTACACTTTCTAAATTAGAACTCTGGCCTTCTCACCTGTCACTTTTTAAAGCGGTGGCGAGAAGCACCAGGCAATCGATACGCCAACTCCAATTAATCCCTCTAAATGGGCCTTTGGCACAAGTTTATCGTTATAAAATATCGACCTACACACCAACGAGGAACGAGATAAGAAAAGTCTAATAACAATAAAAATGATACTATTAAAATCGGTTTAAATTTGGTAAGATCGGTAATCGGAATTTACCCACTAATTAATAAGATTATCCAAATTACCATCACAAATTATCGAAAACCGGATTAACTAGAATCCAATTCAAAATGGTGGGAGGCGCAGGATAGCCGGATGTGTGGATCCTTCGCTTGTTTTTATGGCGGCCGAATCGTCCACGTGATTGGATCCACGAGGAAATTTGTACCTTGGCACGGATCCAACCCAAAAACCTTATTAAACAGTAATATAGAATATATTTCCCTCGGATCGAACCGCGTGAATAGGTTCAGGCCCCCTATAAACGCCAATCGATAGCGTTAAGAATGAAGGAAACAAAACTCACTCTTGCCTAATTTCAATGACCTCCGAAAGACGTCCGAGGCTGGGATATGAGGTCACGGGTGTTGGGTTCCCCCGGGTACACCCAGTTCGGATATCTCACACACACACACACATACACACACAATCCACACGTCTAGGTGACTGCGGCTTCTCCCCGTTGTGTGGCGCACTGCCGTTGTACTTTATCCTGCCCTCTGTTAACGGAATAGAAAAGTACAGGCTGGATACGTGACTAAGATCGGGTTTTAGAAACAAAAAAAAAACCTCGTTACTCAGTACCAGCTCAAATTGCAATACGTGAAATGATATTAATTGAAAACACTATTATACTTCTACGAGTGTGACATGGCGAATGGTCCTGAGTGTAATGACGAGGAACGAAACGACATCAAGAGCTTTCCAAATGCATTTAAATTACAGAAAACAGAAATAATAAAACTAAAAATCCAGTGTTATTCTAACTGTGACGTAGTTTTTGCGGTAAATGTGTGAGGCAGTACTAACCTCGCTGCATTAAGAGAACGAAATGGAGAGGAAAAGCCGGAGAAGTGTATGAGGCATATACTATTGCGCTTCTTAAACCAATTCCACTGTCAAATAGGTACTAAAACTATTGGTGGACGGGCACGAAAATGCCACTTCTTCTCTCTCCTTCATGCTAGCTCCTCGTTTAACGATTCACAGACTAAATTTTGAATACTGCATGAAAATTCTATTTTTAGAAAGTAAATTATGTTAAAGACGTTTCCTTAAAGAAGTTGGAAGGCGAAGCAAACCTGCTTGTACAGCTTAAAAGAGAAACCACGACACACATAATTAAATAGACCTTATTCGCATCTATAAATGTAGAATATAAAAATTTAATGAAATAATATTTTTAATGAAAAAAACTGAAAATTTCGGAGCATTTTAAATGACAAAATATTGAAATGCATTAAAAAAGAATTTCGTAAATTTGAATCGATAATTCACAAAAATTCTAAATTTAGCCTGAAGTGGTATGAATGTCACCTTACGCTAAAAGCGTGTCTTCGAGCTACCTTCATCATAGAACAATTCAAGTGGTGCGAAACTTTCAAAAGATTTGTTGAAGTTGACAAACATGGAGTAAATTCGACATAAAGAAAAAAAAATCTCCATCAAAATAGTTGTATTTTACTACAATTAAAACAACTTTTCTGGAATAAAATTTCTGAAGAAAAAAGAACGAATGAGAAAGTAGCCTGTCTTATGTATAAGATATTACGTGATAGCCGTCAGACCATCATAAATCAAGTTCTATGATTTCTCGAAATATCTTTAGCACACAGCAATGAGTATAAATGTGCAACAGATGGAAAATATATTCAGTAAATACGCCGAAAGCTTTGAAACTTCATAAACAATTTATCATCGAATATATTTTATGTTTATAAATTAAAAATACGTAATTTGTGAAGGAAGTTATATCAACTAACGATGAAAGCTCTACGTAAAATTCCGATATTCAAATACAAAATAATCATATAAAATATCCGAATAAAGTTTTAAAAAGATAATTATGTGTTATTATATACTGCTGAATATATATAGCAGTATATATTCAGGTTCCAACGTGGACCATAGCGACTCCAATTCAGTTGATTTATCTGGATCTATAAATTATTAAGGGTCGGTAGATATTTTATCTTTAAACATAATAAAAATAACTAATTGATATATCTTTAAATATTATTAAAATAAAACACAAAATTTGATTTTTACGTTTAATTAAAAATATATTAATTATTTTTTGATTCTGTATTGTCTACTTGCAATTTTTTTATTTTAGACAGGTGTTGGAGACTTAATTCTATTGTTGGAAAGGGGTCAACAAGCGAGAGAAGTTGAAAACTCCAGATAATTTATATATTCATATGCGTAAATTCTTTCCTCAAAGATTCATATTACTAAATTATTTAAATGTAAGTTATATATTTATATTTATTATAAAAGTTCGGAGTTATTTATCCAATTAGAAGGATAAAATTTAAAGATAATCATAAAACATATACTTTGTTCGGGATGATCGATATCAAAACTAGTTTGATACTGATCAATAATAGCATTTCCCCCTAATAAAAACTATACAATTTTGTAATAGCGATTTTCGAAATTAAAAATTTAAGTCTAAACGAGATCATCCGTTCGTATAATTCTGCAAATAAAATTCAATTATTTCTATACAGTAATTTGCATACAAAGGTTCGAAGCATATTGCATATTTAATTATAAAATACAAGATCTTTTACATACACAAAAAATGAGCATGAAACGAGCCAATAATCGTGACATTTAGCGTTTATTTTATGTATATATGTATACAGAAAGTTAGTGTTTGCCTCTCCAACTGAGCGGTAAAAGAAACAGAGTAATATTGTGTCCTTCGTCAAGATGACATCCCTTAATAACAAAAGGCAAGGTCTGCGCTTGATCGATCATCCTCTAACATTATTACTTGTCATCGGTCAAGTAAATAAGGGTTTTACCCGACAAAAACGAGTAGGATAAGGCTGACATTTTTATGATATGCATACGACTGGGAGGAACCTCTTAAGAGCGGAGGGGAAAAACCACAACGTTTAATAACTTTAACGTGTAGACTTTTTATCGATTCAAAGAAAATCATTATAGAAAGAGAGAAGAAAACGAACGATTTAACCTATCTTAACCAATATGAGAGTAGAACAGCTGCAAAAGCAACGTTTGGATCACTAATTGATCTTTTTCGACTGAAATGATGCTTTTGGTGAGAAATATCTCATTCATCGCGACAGCAACATTCTTTGTATGTTTTTCGATTCAGTTCAGAATGATTCAGTTCATTCTGAACTGAATCGAAAAACTCAACATAAAAAAAAACATGTAATGCTTCTAATAGATGATCTATTTTATTAAAAAATCAATAAATTCATCTTATACATAAAAACGGAAAACTAATTTTAAATCACATCGGTGTTGAAACTGTAAATATTTGTCTAAACAAGAAAAAACTATTTAACTTATATTCTTCATGGATTTTTCTAAGCTTATACGCTTATAAGAGATCCTTTTAAAAACATATCAGCTCATCAATAAGAGTAACATTCTCTGAACATTTTAGTGTTCTAGTAGGCCACCGGCACAACACAGAAAAAGAGTTTAATAAATTACTGGCAGCAAACCTTCCGATATATAAAAGAAATTATTCCGTTCAGGGAAGCGAACGGCAATAAAACCATTAGATAAGTCATTAACAAAAGTGCTAAAGCATATAGAAAAGCTTTCCTCCATTAAATTCGGGTTTGTACAAAACTAGTTTTCTCAATGAGGCGAAGAGGTCATGTTAGTTCAAACAAAATTTTAAACTCCTCCCAAAAGACCAAAATAATACAGAATTGCGTGTATCGAACGCATTATAAGCCAGTATGTGTCTAGTACAAAAATCTGTTGCGATTTAAACCTCAGAGATTCACGCAAGCTTCTGTTGCAGTTGGAACGTCAAACGACGATTTTACGATCTTACATTCTGCATATTTTAAAAGTTGTAATTATCAGAGTACGAATCGTTTTGCGTCACCTTCAGTCGAATGCCACCGACGTCCAGTTAGCATCAATTTTTTAGTATTTGCTAAACACGAACCCGGACGGAAGAGAGAAAATAGTCGCATAGAAACCGATTGTCGGCGGTTAAAATTATTTCCAGATCAAAACACACGTGATTAAAAGTTGCGGTTTATATAACATAATCTAGCTTAGTATTGGTACTTTTGTCTATCAAAGTATTGCTACAGTGGCACGTTATAGCTTCGTGGGGCCCCGGAAAATTTGAATTAGGGGTTCCATGTACAGTGTTGACTTCAGACATTTTTTGGGAAAATATTTTCTTATAAGAGATTGGTTTGGGCCCCAGGCAATTAAGCTACCCTTTTTATCCGTACGATAACGCGCCACTGTATTGCTATTATCTTATCCAGCGCAGTAGTACTGTACTAGTTATAACATCATATGTAACAGATAACAGAGAGGTAAGAAGATATATCTGGCATTTTCAGGCGTCGAGATACAGTTTTATCACCAGGCAAACAGAATGTGCAACCAATCGTGACCGTTCGACCAGGGACTTGTTTTCGCTGCTTGGTTGAACATATTTTGATACGCTTGTGGGTCTTGTAGTAAATCTGATACCCACCTTTATATAAAGTTACGCCAATGCAGAGCGCAAATGAAAAAAAAAATCAAAGAAAGAAAAATTCGAAAGATGAAACTATGAAACGGAATCAAAATTTTTAGTGTTTTTTAAGGGATAGCTCTTGAAAAAACGAGTGAGAGATGTCTAACCATTCATAAAAGAAGATAGGACAAGCTGGAGATAAAAATATGACAGGTATCAAGCGGTAACAGAATAAAGCAGGATGTCCTCTTGGGAAATCCTGCTTTCGCTTTTTAACAAGTTGCTCTCCGCTAAAATTCGATTTTGGTTCTATACAAAATGTAAACCCGTAAATAAGTAAGAAGACTCGTTTGCCTATAACATTCTCTATTCGACAATAAAATTCGAAAGCGATACATGCAAAAACCCTAAAATTATTAAAAGAAAATCATTAAAGAAAAGTCGTCAATCCTGTCAATCTACAATAAAATATTCGGAATCTATAAATAGATATTTAATAAAAGAGTAGATAGAAACTTTAATAAGATCGATTGACGTCATTTACACTTTTCTGAATCTCCCATTTTAATGACGAGTCTTAGTTTTTAGTGGTTGATTTAAAAACAGCTTTAGAAAGTCGATATTCTTGTAAGGTTATGATTAATTATAAATTAGAGAGATTTTACGACGAAAATGGGTCTGTTCTTTCGTATCCATTGTTGATTTCAACGTCGAGAATAGTTTATGTATTGGGCTACATTCGACTAGTTTCATGGAAGAGAATCGCTCTACTGGGATTTTATACGTTTTCTAAAAGCAAAAATTTCGAGAATTCTTTCCATTCTTAAGATACTTTCTTCAACAAATTGCTATAAAAGCTTTCGCTTTTTGTAAATATCTTATCCTAATACTCTCCAATAATCCACCTCTAAAACTCATCCTATTAATTATTGTAGAAAGGCCTGTCAACTTCTTACCATTCTTGTCAATCTCATATAAATAAAAATTTCTCACAGACGATAAGACAAATTATCGAAATGTACCAGTCGAATTCGAAAATAAACTCGAATTTCAATGAAAGTGACATCAAATAACACGGAAAGAGAAAAGAAAAAGATATTACCTGTGCTCTTTTCTTCATAAAATACACTTCTGGACAAAATTCCAGAAGAAAAAAAATTCTATTAATAAAATTTATTCGATGGAAAATTGCTCTCGTTACTTTATTATTGTTATTTTTATTGAAGATGATTACTATTACTACTTTTATAAGTCAATTACTTTAAAATAAATCGAATAGCACGATAAAAGTCGAATTAAAATAATTTCTAATGAGCTATTTACGAATATTTCTATTTCTTTTTTTTATTACTGCAATTTTATAGTTAAAATATATTTAAAATCCTTTAAGGAAAGAAATAAACTAAAATGTTTCAAACTAAATCACCACATTTATATATTTTTCTCTTAAATAAAAGTTTTTGAAAGTTCGAAAACTCTTTTATAAAACTACAATGAGTGTGTTCCTCAGTCACGTTCCATGCGTCTAAAATACTCTCCAGCTAAACCTTAATTATATCACTAAATCGACATCAAACTTTCCAATTAGTTAAATTAAAACATTTCATTCTACCCGAATCTTAAGAATTAAAACGT